TCAGGACACCAGTTCAATTAAATTAACAGTGATTACCAATGTCTGAAGCTTATGGCCCTGGCCTTTTAAATACTTGTTGCCTATTACAGGCTTTTAAGAAATCTTTTAACTGATTAACTTGATTGCCTAACAACATCTCCACCATATAAACTAAACATGACAATATTAACATAGTTTTCAGGATCACTTTTACCTCCAAATGTTTGAAAGAATAAGGAATCCAGCTATACTACCAGGGCAGGAGGCTATTCTGCAACATATTAAAAATCACAAACTACTGTGTTCAGTCAAATACCTCACGAATAGGTCCGGATGTGCAAAAAAGTCTGCATACATTTCTAAAAGAGATCTTCTTTCGAGAATAAATGTTGGAAGAACTACCTGTAAAACACATACACACTTTTGATTCCTGAGGATCAAAGTCCATGATAACAGATCTCTGAGTTGCTGAGAGGTACTCATTCCAACCATGGTTACACCCACATTTTGCCCACTTATGCTTCAAACAGCTGCTTCCCAACGTGTCCTGGTGCAGAAACTTCTGCATAGCACAGAGCAGAGGGAAGCTCCGCAGGCTGAGATGCTCCTCCTCTGCTTCCCTAAGTGTGACAGCAACAAAATGCTCACCAGCAACTCTTGGATACTTTTCTGTCTACTGGGGCATTACATATATTCAAGACCTTACTAAACTGCACAATAGCCATATAACACATCATTCCTGTTTTTATTTTTATTCACTCATTTTTTTCTTTTTTGTCTTTTTGAGACAGGGTCTCCCTGTAGCCCCAGTTGGCCTGGATTAGCTATGAAGACCAGGCTGGCCTCAACCTCACAGAGATCTGCCTGCCTCTGCCTCCCAAGTGCTGGGATCAAAGGTGCACGCCACCACGCCCAGCCTATTCCTGTTTTTACAGTGGAGAAAAACAAAGTTCCGCTAGGAAAGGAATTTAAAATTGGGTGTGACTCTGGGATGGGTGGTGGGAAGAGTCTGGTACATGTCCTCACTACTGCACCATAATCACTAACATTAAAAAAAACACCATACACCACAGTGCTATACTGCTGAGACAGCAATAAGAGTGAGCTGAATTTGGCTGTCTTGAACTTGTGTTTCATCATGTGCTTTGATATTTAACTAGTTTTGAGAAGGCCCTTGGAAAAATGAACTCAACTTCTCTAAACCCTGACAGGAGGATAATTACATGCCCTGCTTATATCTTGGGGTGTGAAGACAGATATATTTGATATAATGTAACTTTAGTAGTATTTCAAAAACTACAAACTACCTGAAAAATAAATCCTTTGTAGAAAGCATCTGGAAAAAAAAAACTTTAGAAACAAAAGAATGAGATACTAAATTTCAGTCATTATAATTATACTCAGGAACTGCAAGCAATTAATTAGTCATTTTTCTGTGCCAATAAAGATTTCTAAAATAGTTCATTTCTTACCACATCTCAGTAAAAAAAAATTATTGTAACAAGTTTTTAGTGACTATAGACGATCCATATTGGTGGGTTAACAGGAAGAAAAAAGTATGACAGGTAAGAATTATAAGCCTGACTATGGTAGACATTTTTGGTTGTCGGTCTGACCACTGGCTTCATCCCTAACTGAACTCTGATTCTTGTCTCTAGGTTACCATTACCCTCTCCCAGCTCAAAAAGGGCAGCTATGGATTAATTCAAGCCCAGCACTACCTTCCCTTGCTGGTGACTAATTTAGTCATGGATTCATGCCTGATTCTGGCCAATGAGATACAGGCCAGCAGTTATGCAATCTAATGTTTCCTGAGCAGTCCTGGATACCTGCAACTATTCTACCTACTGCATTCTTACAGTTATGTTGGGCTCTACAACTTAATGTGTTTTACTACTGGGTCTGGGATAGAAGTGTTTTTGTTTTGTTTTGCTTTGGTCTTTTTGAAACAGGGTCTTCCTGTAGTTCCAGCTGGCCTGGAATCCGCTATGTAGACTAGGCTGGCCTCAAACAGAGATCCGCCTGCCTCTGCCTCCCAAGTGCTGGGACTAAAGGTGTGTGCCACCATGCCTGGCTTTGTTTTGCTTTTTTAAAAATATTTCATTTTAATTTATTTTTATGAGTGTATTGCCTGCATGTATGTGAGTGCACCTGTGTCCTGCAATGCCACAGAGGTCAGAAGAGGGCTTCGGCTTCCCCTGGAACTGGAGTTAAGGACGGTTCGTAGCCACCATGTGGGTGCTGGGAATTGAACCCGGGTCCTCTGCAAGTGCAGTCAGTGCTCTTAACCGCTGAGCCATCTCTCCAGCCTGTTTTCCTTTTTAAATGGTCATGGGCCATATATCTGGTAAAAGATGGACTAGAATACAGGACAAGGGTCCCATAAAGTTACAATATAGTCTAGGACTGTAGTAGGCTGTACCATCTAGATTTCTGTAGGTACACTCTAAGATGTTCACACAATGACAAAAAGCACCTAATATATTACCCAGACAATGTCTCTGTAGTCAAACGACACTTGACTATATTGAAAGACTGGATTAGTCTTCAATTAAAACCAAAATGAGGCTCACTGCCAACAGACTACAGTAGTGGAGTTAGCAGTATCATAACAAAAGTGAAAATCCTAAATTTAAGTAACTTTCTAAACTAGGTAGAACAATAAATCAGTCAATATGAAAGCTACTAGAACTCAAGTCTTCATGACGAAGGCAATAGTGGGAAGAGGATTAAGTTCAAATCCAGATTCTTGCCATTATATGACTTAATACATATTATGTAATTTTACCTAACTTTACACCAACCCTCTTGCAATTCTGTGAAGCAAAGTAGTCTACCATATGCCCACTCTGCATGGGGTCACAGAGAAGGAGATGTGGTGAAGACTAGAGGGTTTGAGAACTGAAGAGGTAGGATGCAAATACATGTCATCTCGCTCCAAGGTCTGCTTCTTTTGATTTTGTGTGCACAACAGTGCCTTAGGCCTTGCCTAAATTACAATCCCAGCACAATACAATTTCTTATTTGCTACAAATAAAATTCAAATATTGACCCTTAGAATCCATACACTATTGTCTCTGAGATAGCTTTTTGATTTGCTCATTCACACACATATGAAATCACAAGACATAGCTAAACACAAGCTGTATCATTGTCTACTTCTATAAGCATTCACCACCTAATCGTCAGCAACCCACATATAACAGAAGACTTCAGCCAAATGCCAGATTTGGTTCTTACCTTCGTAAGATCCATTCCAAGCCTGACTTGTGATAAAAGGTGCATGATAACGCTCTTGTGCTCCTCCACCGACCCTGCCTCCCCATCATCGTCTCTATCATCATGTGAATCAAAGAGATCTAAAAAAGATCATTTTAGACTGGTTTTAGATAGGGTCAAATTGTGCTGCTCCCAGTATTACAAGTATTTTAAAGAAAAAGAAAGTTCTCAAAGGTCCCTTACCAGCATCACTTGTTCCATTGGACATGGAGGAATTCAGTGATTCTGTGGTGTCTGGGCGCTTTAGGCTATTTCCCGAGCTGCTGTGTGTCAGCACTGAGGCAGATCCAGAAGAACTGAGTAAAAAATAAAGAAAAACAAAGAAATCAACCACCTTCCTAAAGAGAGAAACATGGAATGCAAATGTTACTCTACGATCTGCTTGAAATCAATATACAGACAGATGGCAGAAACAAGTCAGACTCTCCAACTAGCTGGCTTACTTTCTGCCTATCACCTGCATTCTAACACTGAGCTCTGAGGTCTGTCGACAAGGTGTGCTTTCTGCACAGGTTGTGCTCAATCAAGCCAAGCTGAACCAAAGTTTGGGGACTACCAAGTTAGTGAGATTTCTGCCTTAAGATCTAAATTTGAAATTAGAGTGGAAATTTCTGTATTTTTATTATGTATTTATGTATTTATTGGTCTTTTTGAGACAAAGTCTCCCTGTATCCCTGCTGGCCTGGAACTCACTATGTAGACATATAAAGGCATGTGGCACATGCCTTTAGTCCCAGCACTCAGGAGGCAGAGGCAGGTGGATCTCTGTGAGTTCAAGGCCAGCCTGGTCTACATAGTGAGTTCTAGGCCAGATGGGGATACAGGGAGACCTTGTCTCAAAAAGACACAAAAAAAAAGCAATATAGTCCATTACTGTCAGATGACTTTATTTTCCGAGATCCTTGAGGAAAGCTCACAGTGGGCTTTAACACTCTTTCCAGTATTTAAAAAGTAAAATTGAAATAATAAAATTAAAAAACATTATTTAACAAAAAAATTTATAGCAACTGGCTTTATGAGCAGGTTTTAAGGGTCTAAAGAAAGCTTAAATTATACCTGTAATAATTTACCTTAAGTATTTGTATATAAATTAAATAACCAAACAATTACTTTAAAGGATAAAAACATGAAACCGCGGGGCGTGGTGGCGCACACCTTTGATCCCAGCACTTGGGAGGCAGAGGCAGGCGGATCTTTTTGAGTTTGAGATCAGCCTGGTCTACATAGTGAGTTCCAGGACAGCTGGGGCTACAGGGAGAGCCTGTCTCAAAAACAACAACAACAACAACAAAAAAAAAAACCCATAAAACCAAATTTCTCATACTGAAGATGCTTATAAAATTCTGTATAATAATCTTAGTCTTACTATAAATCTATATGTAAGGCACAGTGTATGTTCCATTTAAATAGTTTAACCCTGTTATCTTCCTTTGATCTTTAAAACACTGAATGAATTCTTTTCCAGGCAGTCTTAGTTCCCAGCAGGACTGAGCAGAAGCACAGAGTTCGCAGGTGCTCCTGTCTTTGCACAGGCATGCTGACTCCCATGGACACTCCCATAGACTGGTGCCATGGTTACAACAGCTGATTCTACATGATCACCCTGAGACCACGGCTTGGGCTCACTCCTGGTGTTATGCACCCTATGGGTTTGTGAGATAAATAAAGGATAACATGTACAGGACACTTTCACCATCCTAAAAATTCTCTGCACTTTAGATTAGATTGAAACACTAAAAACTTAGATTAGAACATGTATGCATTCTAATTTAAGTATTGTTTGCCCAGGTTACCCTGTTTTAATCTACCTTCCAAAAATCTTCAGGTAATTATACATTATTTCTTTGATAATTTATTAGTAAACATCATAAAGTATTATAAGTCTACCTCACTAATTTTAAGAAGTTAACAAAGTAAATAAAAGACTCAGGTAAGAGAAATCAAATTACCTTTATAGGAAAGAACTGCATGAAAGCTGCTTTCAGAGTGTAAGGCTCTTTGAGAGATCATCAGAATTAGATCAACCTTTTAAATCAACTGACCTAAAAACCTCAAATCTTATAAAGCATGAATTTTAGTTTGGATGAAATTCCAAAGTCTTATCTATTTATCTTGTGCCTTTTCTCTTTGTCAATGATTACAACAAATCATTAGCTCTAGGCCACATGAAATACTCAAGAAGCTTCAAAATGGAAACAACAAAAACGTGGAATAAACTTTCGGCCATTCTACAATTTGCTTCATTCAGAACAATGGACTGAAGGCCTAGAGTTAAGCATATATTTGTATAAGACAGGATTATTTGCAACATCTCCATTTTAAATGCAAGATCGTAAGTAAGCTGGGCATGGTGGTGCATACCTTTAGTCTCTGTGCCTGGAAGTCAGAAACAGGTGGATCTCTGAGAGTTCCAGGCCAGCCAGGGAAACATAATGAGACCCTGCCTTTTTTATTTACAACAACAACAACTGGTAAGTAAAAAGCTTAAGGTTCTAAACTTAATTATAATTTATGGAGCATCTACAACAACCCTCTAAGAGAAGTGTGTTACTCTGACAACATACAGGTGCTCAAGACACCGACAAAGGGTTCCCGTCACACAGCTGCAAAGTAGCAGGTTATTTTTTAATGCATAGCTGGCCTCAAAGTACAAGCTCTTTCCAACATGCACTCTCAACTGACATACGGGCATGTAAACCACACTGGCCAATAACATAGTCTATGTGTTGTTAAAGACCTGCAGTGATAATACTTAAGCTCTGAAACTTCTTCAGATATATACAGAGAAAAAAAAAAAAAATAGAGAAAGATAAAACCTTGACCCTAGCTAGAAAACTAGAGGTAGCAGCTAATGACAAATAGGTGTCACAGCTCAAAGCCCACAGATGCCAGGCAACAGAGAACATGAAACTATGAAACAGGGCCAACCTATGAGACAATATGGAATGGGAGCCAATACCCAGTTTCACAGGATTTAAAGTCTCAGCATAAATAAAACAAAAAGCAAACAAGTCAAGAAAATTGGACTGGCCAATAAAGTATCTACAGTCTTAATCAGTTTGAAATTCAAGATGGGGATATCTAAGAAGAATGTAAAAGGAACCCAGAATAGGTTGGTTGGACATATGATGCTGTACAATGCCCATGGAGGCAGAAGAGGGCATCAGATCCCCCTGGAACTGGAGTTATGGATGACAGCTGCCATCTGGGGCTGTGAACTCTGTAATAGCAGTCAGTGCTCTGAACCACTGAGACATCTTTCCAGCCCTTAACCAAGTTTTTACTGAACATACATGCTTTTAGAGCACACACAGGTGAATCCACTGATTAGCAAAAGATTTTCAAACATGTTTTGTTTAAAGGAATAGCTAAGTTAGGCTGGTAAAATGGCTCAAGGGTACAGGTACTTGCTGCCCTGGTGACCTAAATTCAATCCCTGGGACATACATAGTGGAAGGAGAAAAATTATTCCTGCAAGTTGTCCTCTGACCTGCGTCCACGTGTGCGCGCGTGCGCGCGCGCACACACACACACACAAATATATTCTGTTAATTTAAATTCTTTAAATTCTGTTTAAATATAAAACAAGGGCTGAAGCTTTCAAATATCAATCTTTCACTTTGGAATTTTCTTGTAAATGTTTATTTTCTTTTAACAGTATTACAAAATTTTACAAACAAATTTCTGTTGGAAAACTGCTGATAATTTCTATATAGTTTATGACACAATATGCAACATTAAAAATGAAAATTAAGCCAGCATGGTGAGATCCACCTATAGTCCCAGCACTGGGGAGGCTGAGGCAAGTATACTCCCATAAGCTCAGGCTGGTGTAGGTTACAGGACGAATACCAGGCCAGCTGTGGCTACACAGCAAGACCCTGTCCCTAAAAACAAAATAAAAAACAAACAAATCCAACAACAATAAAAGACAAATCCAGCTGTGGTCCTCGCTGCTCAGGAGGCTGAAGCAGGAGTATCACTTTAGCCCTGGAATTCCTGACTTCTGAGCAATGCAGCAAGACCTCCTTTTAACAGGAGAGGGTGGAGGAAAGAGCGGAAGAAAAAGCAAGAGGGAGACAGAACAAACCAACATGGAGACCAAACTCTCTTGCTCAATTAGCCGTCTCTCTTAACTCACACTCCATGAGATTAGACCACAGAGATTTTACTTTTCCTCACACTTAAAAGTTGAATTTCCCTTACTAAATCAAAATTTACAAACCAACAGTTATTTTCCTTATAACTGCTAGTTTCGAGTCACTATGATGCAATTAAAGATGAATGCCCCCTTCCTTAATTCATGTGCACACTTCAAAGAACTAGAGTGAGTCCTGCACGCATATCTTTAAAAACTTTTTTATTTTTATTTTTTAACTTCCTTGTAGCCCCAGCTAGCCTGAAACTTGCTATACAGACCAGGCTGGCCTTGAACTCAAGAGATCCACCTGCCTCTGTCTCCCAAGCACTAGGATTAAAGTCATGTGCCACCATGCCCGCCTCCAGATTGTGATTTTTATCTTTAGAAGTTCCATTAGGTGATTTACACTTTCTGTAGGGCACAGGTGAAGGTACTGGAGCTGTACAACAGTAGTAGAAAAACGACGGAGAACCTCTTGGCGCCTGGGAATGGGAGAGGTCAAACGTCAAGGCCCAAGTGCCCAGAACCACAGGCTACACACATTTCTTATGAAAAGAAACCAACATTCACAGGGAAACCCTGTCTCAAAAAGACAGGGGAACCCAACATTCAATGCCTAAGGGTTTGGTTGATACAAAGCTTGCAAATTCCTATATAATTAGTCCCAAATTTACACTGTCATACAAAGGAAAACCCAAGCTATAGCAATTGTACTAGCCCCTAAGAAAGCAGTAAAACAGAAAAATAAAAAGACCAGCCAACATAACAGAAAAACGAAAGCAAACAAATAACATAGCAATTGGTTTCCTGTAATAAGCTACAACCATATGCCAGATACTAAGTTAAGCACTGCACTTTTGGCTTACATTATTCTCATTTACATATTCACAATGACTCCTTGACAGTGAAACTATTATTATCCTAATTTTATTAATGAGGAAGGAAATTAAGGATTACACAGCATCAGTTGACCAAGGTCACACAACAAAACAGATTTAGAACTCAGTTTCCAAGATTCCGGAATCCAAAAGTCTTAATTAACTATCCAACCTGTACACTGTTAGAAGCTGACAAGCCTTTCACTTATTAATACATAAGTGGCAGTTAAAACCTTTTCTGTACAATGTTAACTAGCTTTTATTTGATGAAGTAAAATAGGTCAAATATTTTATAATGAGGGAAAACTTACCATCATGATCTGCCAAACCCCACCTGACAGTCCTCACCTTTAAGTCAGGTCACCTACCTTCCTCAGTTTACTACCAAGTTTTGGTTGATCTTTCTACCCATAATCCATTGGGCCCCCACTCTCTTTTTCAATTTTACACAATTTGGGGAACAAATCTCCCTAAAATGCAGACCTGGCCCGCAACTACCATCTCTCACGAGAAAATATTCAAAATTCATAAACATTAAACAAAAACTGGCATACTTTATCCTTCAGTCATACCAAACTACTTACAACTCCCCAAATAAAAGCATCCTTCCCTCCATGCCTTTTTTGCGGGGGAGAGGTGATGATAAATGTTTATAATATCTTTATTTATAACAACCAAAACCCGATAATAGCTTGAAAGCCCATTAATAAACGCATAAATTGTAGTATAGCACATACAATAGAGCACTGCCCAACGATGAAAAGGGACAAACTACTGATATATAAATACACTATAATATGGTGAATCTCAAAGTAATTATGCTTCACAAAAGGAGGCAAAGTGCTCATGGAGCTAGACATGGTGGTGCACCCCTTTAATCCCAACACTCAGGAGGCAGAGGCAGGTGGATCTCTGTGAGTTCAAGGCCAGCCTGGTCTACATAGTGAGTCCCAGGTCAACTGGGGCTACAGGGGGACCCTGTCTCAAAAAGATTTAAAAAAAAGTGCACATTGTATGACCTCACTAATATAACATTCCCTTCCTTCCTTCCTTCCTTCCTTCCTTCCTTCCTTCCTTCCTTCCTTCCTTCCTTCCTCCCTTCCTTCCTTCCTTCCTTCCTTCCTTCCTTCCTTCCTTTTTGTTTGTTGTTGTTTCCGTTACTTAAAGCTTCCTGACTCACCCTTCAGGTTTGGGCTTCATACAGACTAAGCATGCTTTTTACCCTATACCCCTAGTTCTAATATTCTCTGAAAAAAATAAAAAGGAAAAAAACCAGAATCTAGTTACAAAAAAGAGATCAGAAGTTGCTTGGGAATGAGGAGAGAAGTGGTTGGAGGAAGGACAAAGGGACACAAAGAAAATTTGAAAGGGATGCACTACGATTTTGATTGTGGTGATGAAGTTCTCAAATGTTCATCTTACAGTACCAGTTAGATGAACTCCAAAAGAACCAGAAAGGAAAGCCAGAGAGGCAGTGCCGCCTTCTGCTCACAGGGCTGCTTGCTGTTACTAGAAAGAGCTTTCCTCTCTGCATAGCAGGCACTCCACTGCCACACCTTTCTAACAGGGTTCCGTTTGCCCGCTCCGTACCCCTATTTCCATCCTCATTGCACCTTAGGATCACATTCTCTCTGTCCTCTGGAAATCCTCCCCCAGGTTCAAGGCCTCATACTGTCCCATGGCTTCCTGTGCATATTTTTACCATATGCTGTGATGTGAACATCTGTGTCCTTCCTCAATTCCTGCGTTGAAACTTAAATCACGAGTATGAAGAAGTGCAGCCCTTGACTGGCAAGCAGGTCATGAGCTGATACTCTCAGCACAGGATCAGGGGCCCAGAGAGCTGCCTTGCTCTTCCACTGCACGGGGATGCAACCAGAAGGTGCTGTCTGTGAACCGGAAAGCAAGCCTTCTGCCAACACAAACCTGTCAGGACCCAGATTTGGGAGTGTTTCATTGTGAAAACTAAAATATGGGGTTGGAGATGGTTCAGCAGTTAAGAACACTGGTTGTTCTTGCAAAAGACCTGGGTTCGAATTCCAGCACCTACATGGCAGCTAACAACTGTCTGTAACTCCAGTCCCAGGGGATCCGACAGCCTCTTCTGTCCTCCGCAGGCATTCCATGACATGGGTGCACTTACCTACATGCAGGCAATACACTCATACACATAAAATAAAAATAATAAAATATTTTTAAAAGTCTATTATTTATAAGCTCCCAGTTTATAATAGTCCAAATGGACTAAATACATCATGTACCACAGATTATGAATATGTCTCTTTATTCCCTTGACAAACTAAGTTATTTGCGGGCAGGGACTATTTTTTTTTTTTTAGTAACTTTTCTATCATTCCTCTACCTAGTATAATTCCTTGGCTTAGATGCTGTTAATCTCCACTCTGGTACAGAAATATGAAACAGTGATTCCCATTTGTTCACAACTTTACAGGTTACTCACTTCTCACTGAATTCTCTGGTGGTGATGGTGCTACAGAAATATCCAGAGCTGACCTAACATTATTGGCACATTACTCGGCTAATGCTATTTATTCCATTTGTGAAAGTCAAAACTGTCATAGAACAGACTTTGTTCAATAAGCCAACCTAAAAAAGTAAGTTGTCTTTAACAGACACTATCAGCAGTCTTAGGGTCACACTTTTTAAAAACCAGGAGCCATCTGAATAAATACGGTACTCAAATACTTACTCTATTAAGCGCTTTGGGGATGAGCCACTTTGATGGAATTCATCAGCATCATAGAATTCATCTTCACTGCTAGAGTAAGAGAACTCTGGGACTGTGTTTGGAGACAAGTTGACATGGCTTGGAGAAGTTAGACTGCTACTAGGTGGTGAATTCCCACTGCCTAGGAAGTTAAAAGTTTTAAAAATTAGGGAAAACGCTGGTAATTAGGGAGATGGGGCCATGGCGGACCTTTCTAAAGAGAGTTTGATTAAATTGACCTAAGTCTCTGTATTATTTGTAAGAAAAATAAACATTCAAATTAGACAATGAAAAAAGATATCATGCTACAGGATGGGAACACACACTTTTATCTTTTTTCTTTTTTGTGGTACTGGAAATTGATCTCAAGGGTTCATACATACTAGGAAAATGTTCTACTACTGACTAATAACATTAATAACACTCCCAGCCCAGACATAGCCTTTTAAATAAATGGAAAAAATCCTGTATCTCCACTCTATAATTTAACCTATCTTTAATATTAGAAAAGGAATTCTTCTGATTATGCAAGTGTTGGATCTTAACAGCAGACAGCACCAATGGGAAGCTTGCTCTTCATATTAGAGACTAAGATATCTAAAGCCAATGGAGGTACAAAGTCAAAACAATACCAGGACTGCGTGGATGTTAGATATTATTTGGGGTACCACATTCATATTAATTTTTCACTGACTCCACATGGAAAGCAGAAAAGCTCTGCATAAAGCTCTGAGTACATGCACCCAAGTTCCTTATTCTCTTCTACCTAAAACTAAGGTGTGTGGGGCTCAGAGTAGAGATAAACAGAGCTACTACGGGAAGAATGCAGAAAAGGAAGACTGGGGAGAACATTTTTATGTTACCTGAGTCAACTAAAGAATTGAGAATTAATGGAGAGCCAGAGCAAGATTACCATCTAACCTCTGAGATGACTATTTGGTACACTGTTCAGTAATGAAGCAACCAAGTACCAGCACTAATTTACTCAATGTCTAAGGACTATCATGTAATCCTATGCCTGTTCTATTACAGAAACCTGGTAGAGACTAAAGCTAAGTCTTCTACAGTAGGCAATCAAAAGCCAAGGAAAATGAAGGCGCAGCAAAAAGAAACAAAGGTAGATCTACTTCGCAGTCTGGTTCAGGGGTTAAGAGCAAATCAGTGAGCGTGCTCTGTGACTATGCTCACAAAAATCCCTTTGGAAGGGAACAGTTTGCTCCCTAAAAGGTAAGACTTTAAGGTACATTATTGCCTTAAAAGCACTAAATTTTCTTTGTTCCCAATAGCATAAACTCTTCCTAAGAAACTCATCCTGGAGTAGGAAAAATAGGCCAGAAATCACAAATAATGAAGCAACAAGTAAGTATTCCACACAACTGAAAAATATAAGAAAATGAGTTTGAACGGAACTGCAGATAACATACTAAGATTTCAACATGATTTATTAGTTGACTCCATGTTTCTTTTCTATATTGAAGAGAGGAAGGAAAGAAAATAGGGAAGTTGGGGTGAGAACTCAAGACAGAAACCACACACTGACTTTTAAATTTTCTTAACTCCATTTCTAAATGAAGAATCTTCTTCAGAAATAATTTTCACAAGATAATCTTCAATATCTGAAAAAGGTTTGTAAATGCACATATAGAAGAGGAATTCCTCACATTTCAATTAATAAACAGTTTTATATATAACTGCAAGTAGAGAAATTTTGGTAAGTTCACACAGCCCTAATACATCACAGCATAAAAGAAAGTTAAGAAAACTCACAGGTATTTTGTTTACCTGCTTGCTTTTTCTTTTTGGATCTGTGAGATAGTCTCTCACTACCTAGCCCTGGCTGGCCTCAAACCTGCAAGGACCCTTTCTGTCTCAGCCTCCCAAAGGCTGGAGTCACAGTTATGTGCCACTCTATGCAGCTGTAGGTGCCTATTTTTAAGAGTAAAATGTGACACAGTTTGTGAAACACAAGCCAGCAACAGAATGGCAGCTCATCATTTAAACCGCTCCCTGGCATTCCCAAGAGCGCTGAGTGAAAGGACTACTGCTGGCTCCTTTTTCTTTCAAAGCTTTAGAGGGCATTCATTCATCCTTGCTGTTATACAGTAAAGAACAAAGTAAGCACATCAGTGCCTTCACTACTTCAACATTTAAAATGGGCCAGAGTCACACGGTGATTTTTCACCATTACACAGAAAAAGTGCTACCACAGAAAGGAGTTTGTGGAGGGTCAAGAGGGACTGACGGCCCACCTGCTCACCCAGGTTTCTAGTTTGGGCCTCCCAATTTAACAGGACCCAAAGTAGTAACTGCACTTCCTTGAGTTTGGCTCTACCGCTAACACAATGTAAATTTAATTCATTGTAAAACAAGAAATAAATGTAGTGTCTAACACTTAGAGTAGCCTTGTACCAATCAGAGAAAACATAAAGACCATAATCCTAAACAAATAAAATGTAAATGAAAATGAAGTGTTTGATGCCTTTAAAACTGGCAAAAACGTGACTAAAGAGCACACGATCAAGTACTGCCCTAACCAAGAAAATTCTGGAATCACCCAAGTGTTCATTAGCAGAAAAACAGGTAATACCCACCCAGGCAGCTATAAAAAGAATGTTGTTGACCTTATTAGACAGACATGGAAAATTCTCTAAATGTTCTCTCTTATAAGAAAAGAGCCAGCCACAGAAACACAGGGCTCTGTTCAGATTCGAACAGAAAGGACAGTAAAATACACACTGGAGGTGCAGGCGCACACACATGCAAATGAATGCAGTACACCTACAAAGCCTCTTAGCCTCTGTCTGCACAAATCAATCTGATTCCTTTACAATGAGAAAGTAGACATGTCTAAAGTGAGTAATTCATTAAAAAAAAAAGATTCAATAAGGGTTCCCCAAGTAATTTTTAAGCTACACAAACAAAGCCCTATGATTTAAAAAAATTTATAGTGTAATTACTAAAATTTGTGGCTCAACCACAAAGTTGCCCATTTCATGTGAGTTGAACTGAAATGAAAGAGCCAAGCTCTCTCCAGTGGAAGTAGCCATCACATTGATTCTAATTTTCCCCCATTAGTACCCAAAACAAACCTCAAATTTAACGGACAGTTACGAGAAGTAAAGGTTACGTAATTCTGTACCTGTACTATTTGGTGTTGGAGTCTGGTGATGTCCCAAGGTAGCTAACACAGGTCCAACAGGTAGCGAAGATGGGCGCTGCTCTGACTTACACAACTGAGCAGGTTCTGGATTTGAATACGTGAAGTAAGTTAGAAAAACAGTCAAACATACACTCAACAACTATAACTGTATGGGATGCAAAATCCTAAAGATCAGTATTTTTCCGTGACAATGAAGTCAAATTCATGGTACCACTCCTTATGGCCTCCCAGATTTTAATGATACACTGTGCAGCACCACGCACACAAGCCAGGATAGGCCAATGCCCAGGGTAACTGCTTGGTAAAACGAATAAAAAGCTTCTGATGATATGATTTTGAAACTCAAACCACATAAAATCAGAAATGGGGACAGTTCTTCTTCTTTACTTGTCTACGTGACATTAAGTTCATTCTCTAAGGAGTAAAATAAATCATAAAAGGATTTCACATGTTAAGCATCTTTTTGAAGAACTATACAAATCTTTGGCTTCGCTATGCCAGGTGCAACAAAAAGGGAAGCTAAGTGTTAAGAAGTTTTGAGCCTCAACTCTTGGTGATCCTCCTGTAGACTTCCAAGTGTTACACTTTATAGGTATGAGCTACCATGCCTGGCTTTTGCTATTTTTTTTTCTTTAGATAGCACTTACTGCTCTACACCTAAAAATACAAAGGTTATTTGATTAGTAGGCATCATAATCATATTCCTTCCTTTCTCATTATCTTAAAATCCAGTGCAAATAAAACATTAGTATTGCTCAGAGATGGGGTTAGAGAGATGCCTCAGCAGTTAGAAGCACAGCAAAGGATCCGGGTTCAGTTCCCAGCAACCACATGACAGCTAACAGGAAATATGATTCCCTCTTCTGGCTTCCTTGGGCATTTGCACATACATGGTGCACCCATACACATAAAAATAAATTTTAAAAAATTAATAAGGGAGCTGGAAAGATGGTTCCAGTGGTTAAGAACACTGGCTGGTCTTGCAGAGGACCCGGGTTCCCAAAACCCACATGGTGGCTAACAATCATCTGCAACTCCAACAGATCCCACGCCCCCTTCAGGCCTCTGTGGGGACCTGCACACATGTGACATACACTCAGAGACATACACACACATACTCATAAATCAGTGATTTTATTAAATTTTATTTATTTTTATTTTATGTGTATACATGTATTGCCTGCATGTAGGTAAGTGCACCCGTGTTGTGCAATGCCCGCAGAGGTCAGAAGAGACTGTCAGATCCCCTGAGACTGGAGTTACGGAAAGTTGTTAGCTGCCGTGTGGGTGCTGGGATTCGAACCCGGGTCTTCTGCAAGAACAACCAGCGTTTTTAACTGCTGAGCCATCTCTCCATCCCCATAAGTAGGTTTTTTTTTTTAATTAGTAAAAAAAAAAAATACTATTCAGAGTTATAAAGAATATTCTAAACAAAAATGTTTTAACATTTGTAGATTAAGGCATACCAAGTTTTCTAGATAGCTATAAATTCTGAGTCTGTCCTACCAGCAAATTTGAGCCTTTATAGATACCTCTGAAAACCAAATACCTTTCATCACACTTCAAAAGCACCAATACCAAGACACTCTCATTCTTTTCCCGTTATATTATTTTTTGTAATTGTCTCTTATTTCTTCTCAAAATACATAGAAAATCTAAGATTATCTACTAATTTGTGAAACATTGCTCCAATACTATACCTGGAGGTAAGACAGTCTGGGAAGGCATTGTGCTGATCACAGGTTCCAAGGGACTAGGTTGGTATATTGCATCTACAGGATTAATAGTACTCTGAGATAAGAAACATAGCACAGTTACTTTTTAATTATGTATCTTTCTCATGCTGATCCACCCAAACAAGTAAAATGCCCACATTTCTGATAGCAAAATCCAGAGGGTAGTATATAAATTGGTCAAATGCAAAGAGGCAATGAATTTTTTTTTATATACAGAGGTGTAAGAGTTTCTTGTAAAAAAGCATAGAAAGGAAGGGAAATGAATGACTCATTGTCATAGAAGGTAAAGCTAAATGGAAAACTTGCGAGGAAATAATGCCCACACAGCCACCTCTTAATTCAATTCAGTGCTCCAAAAACTTTTAACTTACCACAAGTATTGCCTTGGTGTTAATAAATGTTGCACCAATCACTAGCTAAGGGACTTGCACCAATAGGACCTCACCCTTCTACCTTGGTCCATTGCGACCCCACCACTGTGTGTTACACAGGAGAGGTGTCCAGCTGTGCAGTCACTAAAGGAAAGTGGTACCAGATAATAGATATGGGAAAAAGGCTTTTTTTTTTTTTTTTTTTTTTTTGAGAATGCAGGGGGCACTCAAACATGTAGTGAAATTTTTAAGGAAGGAAGAAAAATCCAGATTTCCACAATTCTAAGATCAGAAATTATTCTGACATTTGGATGCACTGTAAAACAAAAACGCCATAGCTTACTGATTTTCTTTTAAATGAGAAGCAGTTTGGGTGAATTTATTTTGATGATTTGATTGAAGTGACTGATTCTGAGACAGTGCCTTGCTATGTAACTCAAGCTGGCCTACAACACAGGTTGGCTTCAAACCCACAATTCTGCCTCAGCCTCCTGCATGCTGGATTTACAGGTGTGCTACCATGCCTAGCTTGCTTAAACAAGATCTTTGATGCTGACTGAACCCAAAAAGTATCCATATGAATTTTCTGTCTTAAAAAGACCAAAAAAAAAAAAAGACAATGGTACAGTTTCTGTGGCACTGTCACTTTTTTAAGCCAGGAAAAACTTTTCTACATACAGTTAAAAAAAAAAAAAAATTGCTCTGCCTCCCTGGGCCTGCAGGACCCGCAGGCCTCTCTCCAGGCCTCTCCCCTGGGTAAGTCCATCCTGCACCTCCACACCTTGACTCTCCCAGCCTCACTCACCCTCCCATCTCTCCCCTCCCCGCAACCTGGTCTCTGCACCTAGCCTGGGCCCTCTCCCATTGCTTGTGTTGGCACCCCAGACACCTGGGGAACCACCACTGCTTCCTGATCCTTTGCATCCAGAGCAACTCAGTTTCTTCTCGGGTCCCCAGGAGCCATCTGGGCCTGGCCACACCCTCCCCTCCCTCTACTTAACTGGGCCCCCAACGACCCTACAGCCACTTTCCCGGACACCAGGGCCGAACTTTCCTCTTCCTGCTCATTTGCATCCAGACCAACCCAGCTCCTCAGTGCAGTCCCCAAGAGCCCTTGGGGACACTTCCCCCCCACCCCCCATCAGCCTTTGCATCTCCAGGTGGCCCGGCCACCATGCCCTAGACCAACATCTTTCCTGGGCCCGGCACCCAGGCCAGTCCAACCCAATTAAAAGATGGGCTATGGAGCTGAACAGAGAGATCTCAAAGAAGAAGTAAAGATGGCTATGAAACATCTTAAAAGATGTCCAACATCACTAATAATTAGGGAAATGCAAATTAAAACCACTTTAAGATTCCACCTTACCCCAGTCAGACTGGCTAAGATCAAGAAAACAAATGATACCAAATGTTGGAGGGGATGTGGGGAAAGGGGAACACTCATCCACTACTGGTGGGGCTGCAAACTGGTTTAGCCCCTATGGAAAGCAGTGTGGAGAACTCTTAAAAAACCACAAATGAACCTACCATTTGACCTAGTTATACCACTTCTTGGCATATACTCAAAGAACTCATCCTATTGCAGAGACACTTGTACATC